TTTTCAGAGGCAAAGACAAACTAGCCTCATCAACACCTTCACCAGAATGCAAAGTGGCCCCCAAATTCTAGAAATAGTCACCAAGTGGAGTCAACATCGGCGGAGCCAAACCACTAGAATTATAAACTAAACTAATCATTCTCACCTCATCATCACGAGCCTGTTGACTAAGAACCTCTTGACTGTCATCAATTTCATCTTCTGCAACCTTTTTTGAATCAAAAGAAGCTGAAACCTTCTTTTTTTTCTTGCTAGTCCTCTTAGCAAGTTGTACACCAGCTCTTTTCTTCTTTGTAACATTTTCTATGCTCGGCTTCGCTGCACGAGTATACGCTGGTGGAGGTCTTTCATCATATTTCATTTGGGCAATCTCAAATATTCTATTCAAATGCTTATAATCTTTTCTAAGAATTTTATCCATCAAATCTTTTTCTTTCTTCAAAAACTTGCCCAGAATCTCAAGTGCCTTAACTTCAATAGCAAAAACAAATTATCAGGATACAAAAAATATTTCCCCCTCACAACTTTCTTATGAAAACGAATAAAGCTCTAGCCCTTCTTGAGAGGCCAAACTCGAGCTACAATATATTCTTCGCAAAGATCACGAGCACTTTGCAGATTAGCAGTCAACTTATAAGCCTTTTTACAAATCTTTGAATTCTTTGTACTAGGAAATTCAGGCTTGCAATCAAAAACATTCTTCCCCATCTTCACAGCCAATGGATAGCTCTTTACAATCTTCCTTGACTCATCTATTTCTTCAACCATTGGAACTGTATGGTAAAACCAGTACCGATACAAATTTTCAACCCATTTATTCTTGGAAGTAGGAGAAATTTGCTTAGCACCTCGATCAGGTTTAAAACTACAATAACCAAAGTACTTGATAATAGTCTTCCCATCCACATTCTTACTCCTAAACTGAGTATGCATCTCATGAAGAGCACAAAAAGCCCTGATATCCAAGTTTACATCTTGAGACTTCACTGCCCAAACAAAAAGAGCAATCTTCGCTATTCTGTTAGGAGTCAAATGATGCATTTCTATGTTATATGCCTTCAGAAGTTCTTCAAGAAAATCTTGGCACGGCATACGAAGTCCAGATGCAAATTGATCCTGAAAAAACACACATTCATAAGGTTTTGGATCAGGAACTACTTCGTTTCCAGGCAAACGAACAGATACCCTCTCCACCATCCGATTAGTGACCATCCAATCTAACTCTTTATCGTCCATCAAAGTTTGTCCAAACTTCAAAGACTTCTAGTCATCACCAACCAACTCGGACTTAGACGCAGAAACATCTGACAAATCTTCACCCAAGTCAGACTGATTAGATCCAATTGGAGAGTTCGCAGAAGCATTCTTCTCTTGATCAAACATCTAGAAAATAAAAAACATATCAGCAAGATAAAATAATAAACAAAAAGAAAGAAAACAGAAACAAATAAATCAAAAACTAACCTTAGTCAAATTCGCACCTCCGAAAAGAAATAAGCCTTCGAAAAAGATTTTTGGCTTCGCTAAATTTTTTGAATTTGCTTCAAAGAAAATTTCGACAGCACCTCCCTGTCTTCGATGAAGTAGCAAAAACAGGGGAAGGGAACGAAGTATATAGGCGGCTTCGGGTCAAGCCTGACGGTTCAGCTTCCGCCGATCAAATACGACCATTGCAATTAAAAAACAACTGTTCACAATCTAACGGCTATAAACGGCCAACTCCAAAGTTCGGGGCGGCGTTTTCTGTCTTCGTTTTAAATCCAAACTTCGCGGGATTTAGACCTTTGGAGTAGGATTTCACCCGCGAGGTGCTGCTGTTGGGATTTGACTTCGCCAGGAAAACTCAGCCCCTGAAACTTTAAAGTTGAAATTGTGATTTTCATAACAAAGTCTGCTTGCAGAAAAAGAAGCATAGCGAAGATGAAAATTTAAATTCGCAAGAAGGAATTCGACTTCGCTGGAGAGAACTCGTCTTCGCTGAAAAGAAGAAAACAAAGACAAGCGAAATCAAATATTTGACTCTGCTTAACATTCTAAAGTCAGAGAAGAAGCGGAGCAAGAATTGGCTAAGTCCTAAGATACGAAGACACTAAAAAGTTTGAAGGCCAGAAGCCAAAGAATGAAAGCTGAGGTAGAAAAAAAGATTACTTCGTCCTTATTAAAAAGGGGTGTAACTATTTGAGTGAGGAGCAAAATATTCATTTTGTGTAAAATACGAAGACTGAGGTCCCTATAAATACCTCCTCTCATGTGTACAGTACGATATGGAAATGAATACAACTTTGACTTGTGTTCAATTTGATGCTTGTGTAATTGTTTTAACCAACACTCAGTCAGATGAAGAGTTCTTTTCTTTCGTAGTACATGCAGCGGGGAGGAAATGATACGGTAGCTTTCATCCAATTTATTAGCTAGACGCTGAGTTCTCGTGCCTAACAACCGACAAGGACTCTACTACTAGAACATGGTAAATTGGTAATCATCTACAAGTTGCAGAGAAAAAAAAACATTATTCTCCGATCCACCAATGGCCAGTGTCGACTATTAGTCTGCTGGGACATCCTTTGCGTTTCTGCTTCTGCCCAAGGTCAACCGCTTCAACTGCAGGAGCCATTAGGCCAGCATGCATATGTGCGTGTGACTCGATTAAAAAAATGCGGCCACTTTATTTCGGAGTTCTGTTCTGATGTCGAATTCGGTGCTGGGTATCAAGTACTCCGTAGAGTATCAACAAGTCGCACTTGCAGGAATCAACGTGGATTCCTGTCCCGATCTGCGCGCGTCGAGTAATGTCACTTTGGAAAAGGACCAGCTCGTATTCTATTATGGAGTACTACGGAGTAGTTCTCTGTTCTAAGATGTTATATGTCAGATCTCAGATGTCTTGGCACGCAACCGCGGTGGTTCAGACATCAGACTTCAAAACTATGATCAGAGGCTCCAGAAGAAACTGCTGGCGAGATAACAGGTTGCGGCCTGTGGGTAACAGCAATGGCGTGTGCCTTCATTCAGGCCTAGATAATCTCAGACAGAATTGATCTGATTTTTTTTTCTCACTTTTGCTACGAAATGTTTATAGGCATCAGTGGCTGAATTTGTGGTTGGTCAACCAAGCACGCAAAGATGCAAAGCAACCAGGTGCGTTCTGAATGTAAGAGTACGGAATACCACAATTCTACTCGCCGTCGGATTTGCGTCCCATGAGGGTTAACAATTCAAAGGACATCCGGACATGGTGACGTGATGCACGTAACGATGTAGTGGCATTCGTGCAAGGAAGGAAGCAAGGGGATACCCAAAGCCGGAATCCTTGAAGTTGGCAAACTTCGAGTTCTTGTCACGGCATCTGCCAGAAAAAGAGTGTTAAAAATGATACATTTTTTTTGGAAGGAAAACGAAATAAATAATGTTCAAAGCTTTAATAAAGTTAATATAGTTATGGCTTCAAATTTGAGTTACTAATTTGCAAGGTAAGCAAACAACATCACCTCACATTAACTTAGTTGTGGTTGACTTTTCCTCGCAGAACAGGTTTTGGCGGACCTAATATTAGTCACAAGTACGATGAGTTCTTTTTCTTGCCATAAATACTTTGGTTTATTGAGTTGGTTAAGTTTGTTAGACTTGGCACCGGTGCTAACATTTTTCTAAATTTATTCACAGAAGAAACAACGCTAAGTGGCTGTCATAGGTGGTCACTATCAATGTGAGTTGCTTGTGGGAAGGGGCATATCTAGAGGGTATGCCAAATATATCCCTGTATATCCTCCCCACAAGTTCATGAAATCAGATTTGTCCTAGTGTCTTTGATTTTTAATGGTCACCGTCTGTTCACTCTTCTCTGGTCAATTCCTAGAGGGGCCAGGGGGGCCAGGGGGCCAGTGGCAGTGGCGCTGCTTTCGCCCTTGTGAGCAACAATGGGGAGGAGACGAGCTTCCTTTCAGGCTTTTCCTCACAAAGTTAAGAGAGAGATTGGGCATGTTACTTTGTTGGATGACTTATTGCTTTGCAATTTTGCATTCTAGGACTGTTGAGTTTCCATGGTCTGTGCTCAACAGTGGACTTGGATATACCCCGCACCCGTAGAATGGAGGCAAATACCATGGCAATGTAGTTTTTTTTTTTTTGAGAAACCGGGTTTATATTTCACATAAAATTTTGAAAGTTTACATCCCAAAACTTACAAAGACATTCTTGAAAGAAAAAAAAATTACATCCAGGTCCTTGCAGTGTTCTCCCGGTTGTCCTCGTCGCCAACGATCGGAGCAGTCATCCTGAAGCCGACCGCATTTCCGACGAAGGAACATCAGAAGTTTTCAGTGGCACCATGAGCAGCATATCGGAAGTACCGACATGCTTTATCACCGCTGAACGTACAGGCCGATCAAGATGGCCAGTGACCATCACATCGCCGGAAAGTAAGGGATCTGGCGCCTCCACCAACAGCCCTAGCTCGCCGGACAACGAGTCTAGGTAGACAGGGGCCATTTTAGAGGAAACAAGAGCTCGAAGCGAAGGTTCACTGCTCAGTTACCAAACTGAATTAGCCCAAGCGGCAAGGTCCAATTCAAATCGTGGGCTCCTGGCTGCCTTCTCTCTGGGCTCTTGCCAGCCCACTTAGCCCCTCGCTCCCGGTCGGGCCCGGCCGTGCCAACCCAACACGTCAAACCTTCGAACAACCAATTGCCCGTGAGATTGCCGCGTCCGGTCCAATATACGCGCTCGGACTTCTCACGTACGGCTTGCTTCCGCGTTCGAAACGGAACCGAACCCAAGTCCGTGCCGCTTCCATGGCAAGCTTAAAGCCAGCCCGCCGACGTCCCAATCAAACGAAACGAACAAGATGCTCAAAAAAAAAATCAAACGAAACGAACAAGAAGACGCCAGCACTGCCCCCGGGCCCGGGACTTGTTCTCTCTGACGCGGTGACGCCGCGCAGACCAGCGACCCGCGCGCGAGCGTCCGCCGAGATTGTATCCGTGGATGCATTCGTCGCGGCAATGGTCTTCTGCGAGGCGCCCCTGGACGCCGCCGCCTTGGGCATGGGCACTTCTGCTCCCGCGGCCACGAAGGGCGCCGGGTGCGGCGCCAACAAGAAGCGCGAGGAGGAGGAGGACGTGGTCAGGGTCAGGTCGGCGGCGCCGCCAGTGACGGAGGCAAGGACAAGGGGACCCGAGGAGCCCGTCGACGCGTCGTCGTTCGGTGGCTTGCAGTGCCTCCAGACCATCGTGTTCCGCATCGACTGATCGATTGGTCGTTAGGAACCGTGCAGCTGCGCGCTGGCTGCAGTCTTGGTTTCATGTTTATTGCCGCTGTTCGTACGTCTGGACTTTTGCGACTAACAATGACTGAAAACCCGATCAATAAATAGCTCAGCTGTCGTGGCAAATAAAATATGGGAATCTTTATAGCAGGTTCACGATTCAGCAAATGGCAGCAGAGGCCAATTGCCTGAAAAACTCCAGTCTAACAACGTAATCGGCATCCGTTGTGGTCGTTGTACTGGTGTCAGATCATTTTGCCTTTGAAAAACATAAAAGCACTTTTCTTAATCCAAAGTCAAACATGAATAATCCAAGAACATCTATGTCTCCGGAGTCTGGACACATCATAAACTACTCGCTTGCAAAAGGGAACTTTGCTGCTAGCTAGCGGAGATGGTGCCACAAGTGGAAATTATCTGGCATCCTCTTGCTGCGCGCGCGCAGACTGTCAAATAAATCGGACCCTTTCGTTCATTCATGGCGCCGGTTAATTTAGTCTTCCCGGCTGGCGTCGGCGTCAGCGTTTTTTTTTAATTAAAACGAAAGGAGAAGGCCGTGGACTTTGCGCGGCGATGCCGACGCCGATTGGCGACGACCTCTCCGGCTGTGTCGGATCACCGCAGGTCCACGTCGCTTGTGTCGTTTCGTTTCTAATCTCGGGATCTTTTGTTCCAGAGCGCACTCAATACAGAAATCATCGTAGTTTTTATGAATATTAATTATACTGTCACCTAAATATTTTGCTGACGTGGCAAGATAGTTATTGAGGAGAGAGAGCAAAAATCGTAGAAACCGGGTCTAAGTTATAAATCATGTCTATACGAAAACCAAGACATAAAGAGATGTGATTGGTAAAAAATTGAGAGAAAATGTACATGATTGGATAAAAAATGTTCAATAGAAACTATCCATTGGAATGATAGTTTATATATTAATAGGTATAGGTTTTAGCACTGGACTGCCCTTAGCGATTGTTCCGTGATCCAAACGAACACGATACGGTTTCTCATCTCGGGATCCTTTGTTTTTGTGATTGTTCCTTTGTTTTTTGTGATTGTTCCGTGATCCAGGCGAACACGATATGATTCTTTTGAGTATTTGTTGTTGCGTTGCATCACGGTTCTGAGCTGCTGATCGGCACTCGACAGTGAACGTCTGAACGAATTAGATAAGTGGACCAGTGGTGGCCAATTTCGAAGCAAACGCCTGATAGCCATGGCGACTTATTTGCTTCAGAGAGTAGGGATGTGCAAGTTTCCACAGCTTCGAGTAATTAAACGAGGACTGCTATGGCCTATTGGGAATGCTAAGCATCTCCAAAAGTATCCAATATTTTCTTCCTAAAAACATAAAGTTTTATAACTTCTAAAAAAATATTGGAAAGAATAAAGAAGGTCATCTCTAAGAGTTTTTAATAATCCACTCCTAAAATATAGAAGATAATTTTACATCAGGTATCCTATATTATTTCTAAATTATCCTAACTACTTTTATATATTCCTTCTCTCTTGTACATTTACATCGGGAACCATTTCTTACTCTTTATTCTTTTTACGCACTTCTACCTTTAAATTGGCCGACAAACACGCGCGGGAGTAACTTTACGCGGAACAAGGTGATTTTTTCCAAGTTCTAAAAGACTAGAAGAATGGATTAGAAGTTGTTGGAAATAGGTTTTTTCTCATCTTGCTAAAAACCAATGATTAGGAAGGAATTTAGGGAACTTTTGGAGATGCTCTAAGCCGGACTTTGCAGTTCTGACTTCAGTGACAGATCAGGGTGTTTATTTTTTCTCAAGGGGTTTTACATTGAAAACAGTACATGCAGACATGCAGATGAAGTAGGGATACAATAATGTCAGATAGGTATATGGCATGAAGGTACTGTAGATAGAAATACATACACAACATTAAATGGTCGGTCGGCGCTCACATCCGATCTATATTTTTTTAAGTTGGAAAGATGTGCACTTTAAGAGCCTCAGAGTCAAATATGGCGTGCATAGATATTGGATAGACAGACGTTACATTGAGCCATTGACATTTTTGGTTTCATTCTTGTTTAGATATGATTCCATTTGTTGGATTCATGTTGAAAGACTGTTAGAGATTGTGAAGAGCGGCTTGTAGATTGTGGGTTCTTAAAAGCTACCGCATCCGTCCCAACATAAATAAACTTTTAGAGTGTTTTATTAAATCAAACTATTTTATATTTAACTAAATTTATATAAAAATATCAATATTTCTGACATCAAATTAATATCACTAGATATATAATCAAATATGTTAATATATTATGCATTTATTTTGTCTAACTTGAGATATTTTGACTTTAGACGAGTCTAGAATTTGATTTATTTTAGGATCAAGGTATAGTAGAAACAGCTTGGTAAAGATAGCTTATGGGATTGTTATAATCTGAAGTAGATATGATTAAAAGCTGCTTTCATGTCATAGGCTAGATCTTTTAAAGCCACAATACACAAACTCTAGTCGATCTAAATAGGGCCTTAGTCGCTTCAAAAATAAATAAGGCCTTGCACAATCTTTGTACAGTGCAAGATAGTAATGGAGTATCTGTACACAACATTTGGTACAATGTGTGCTGGCCATTATCCCACCACAATTTTCTGGTACCTGTTCAGATCCCCCGGATTCAACAAAAACGTCATCAGTGTTAGTAGAGGGCCCACATGCCAGTCTCGGCAGAAGATTCTCTGCCAGATGGGCCCCTGCAAACTAAAGAACGAGTGAACGACAACGACAACTAGTACGCCTCTCCTGTTGAATGATGATCCCACGGCTCCTCCGTCCTATAAATCCAAGGTCACCGTTGGCCGTTCCCTCTCGCGCCGCAGCCGCACATCTTCACTCTCCATTGCTCATTTGCTCCCTGCAGACTGCAGACTTGCAGAGGGAGAAGGACAAAGGAGGAGGGAGCAAGCCGGTCGAGATGGCGACGTGCGCCACGACCCTCGCGCCGCTTCTGGGTCCGGCGGCGAACGCGACGGAGTACCTGTGCAACCAGTTCGCGGACACCACGTCGGCGGTGGACTCGACGTACCTGCTCTTCTCGGCGTACCTCGTCTTCGCCATGCAGCTCGGGTTCGCCATGCTCTGCGCGGGCTCCGTCCGCGCCAAGAACACCATGAACATCATGCTCACCAACGTGCTCGACGCCGCCGCCGGCGCGCTCTTCTACTACCTCTTCGGCTTCGCCTTCGCGTACGGGACCCCGTCCAACGGCTTCATCGGCAAGCACTTCTTCGGCCTCAAGCGGCTTCCCCAGGTCGGCTTCGACTACGACTTCTTCCTCTTCCAGTGGGCCTTCGCCATCGCCGCCGCCGGGATCACGTCGGGCTCCATCGCCGAGCGCACGCAGTTCGTGGCGTACCTCATCTACTCCGCCTTCCTCACCGGCTTCGTGTACCCGGTGGTGTCCCACTGGGTCTGGTCCGCCGACGGCTGGGCCTCGCCGTCACGGACGTCGGGGAAGCTGCTCTTCGGCTCCGGCATCATCGACTTCGCCGGGTCCAGCGTCGTCCACATGGTGGGCGGCATCGCCGGCCTCTGGGGCGCCCTCATCGAGGGCCCCCGCATTGGGCGGTTCGACCACGCCGGCCGCTCCGTGGCGCTGCGCGGCCACAGCGCGTCGCTCGTCGTGCTCGGCACCTTCCTGCTGTGGTTCGGCTGGTTCGGGTTCAACCCCGGCTCGTTCCTCACCATCCTCAAGAGCTACGGCCCCGCCGGCAGCATCCACGGCCAGTGGTCGGCCGTGGGCCGCACGGCGGTGACCACCACCCTCGCCGGCAGCACGGCGGCGCTCACGACGCTCTTCGGGAAGAGGCTCCAGACGGGGCACTGGAACGTGGTCGACGTCTGCAACGGCCTCCTGGGCGGCTTCGCGGCCATCACCGCGGGCTGCTCCGTGGTCGACCCCTGGGCGGCCGTCATCTGCGGGTTCGTGTCGGCGTGGGTGCTCATCGGGTTCAACGCGCTGGCCGCCAGGCTCCGGTTCGACGATCCGCTGGAGGCCGCGCAGCTGCACGGCGGGTGCGGCGCGTGGGGGGTCCTCTTCACGGGGCTGTTCGCGCGCAGGGAGTACGTGGAGCAGATCTACGGCACGCCGGGGCGGCCGTACGGCCTGTTCATGGGCGGCGGCGGGAGGCTGCTGGCCGCGAACGTGGTGATGATCCTGGTGATCGCCGCGTGGGTGAGCGTCACCATGGCCCCGCTGTTCCTGGCGCTCAACAAGCTGGGGCTGCTCCGCGTCTCGGCCGAGGACGAGCTGGCCGGCATGGACCAGACGCGGCACGGCGGGTTCGCGTACGCGTACCACGACGACGACTTGAGCTTGAGCAGCAGACCGAAGGGGACTCAGAGCACTCAGATCGCGGCCGCGTCCAGCGGCGAGTTCTAGTGGCATAGTGCCAACAAATTATATTACACATACATATGCACCGTGCAGAATGCACGCAGGTGGTTCTTGTGTTGTGTTGGATCTCAAAATCTCATAGTATGTTACTCCTACATGGTGATTGTACAATAACAACCATGACTGCCAAAATTGGTCCAAGAATGGCATATCCCAACGATGTTTTTGATGTCTGATCTATCATCATCGTGGCCGTCGATGGCTGCCATGACTGCATGACCATCTGTGCAAAACCTTCACGGCATCCCTGCTTAGCACAGGTTTCTTTTTATGCGGGTCTGAAACATGGAATCCATCCCACCCCTTTGAACGGATCACCAGAAACAACTCAAAGCCCTCTTGACGAACTTGGTACAGTGTTTTTCTCTCACAATAAATCAATATCAACCGTCTTATCAGGCACAAAAACCATCAGCATGGAAGTTGCTGAGATAGGACATGGTTACATATCACTCCAGTCACTTATCCCCTTTAGGCCTTGTTTGGATGCATGTGTATCCACTTCAATCCACATGTGTTGGAGTGGATTGGAATAGAACTTAGTTTAATTACACTTCAATTCACGTGTGTTGGAGTGGATTGGAATAGAACTTAGTTTGAATACATGCGCATCCAACTAAGGTCTTATTTGGACGGGCGAAAATGCTGCAATTGACCAAATAATTTGGCTGGTTTTGCATGGTCAAGGTGGCATATACCGTTCGCAATTTACATGGCAAGCTATTGCACCGCATTCGAATCATTCCAGACCAAGACAATAGAGTGCTTTTATTCTTCTATTCTACTTTTCAAATCAGTTCCATAACCTGCACCATCCTTTTCGACCAACATCTTCTCTGCCAGGATTGCAGTGGAAACGTAGGGCGGTCATTTACCCATGTTCCAACATGATCATGCCATGTGACCATATACGAGCTGGATGACTGTATGTTCGGTTGCCTGGTTCGTTTCGTTGCTGATTCGTGAAGAAGTACTGTTGGTTGGTTTGTGTGAAAGAAAAATACTATTCCGATTGAAAATTTACGATCGTTTACGACAAGCCACAGCCACACGAACAGGCTGATGACATGGAAATGACGATCATCACCTATCTCCATCCAGAGCCTTGAATCTCTTTGATCAAAGAATCTCCTTTTCACCAAGTGATACAATCAAAGGATGGCATGAACCAACAATGGATCGATACCCTTTCAAAAAAAAACAATGAATTGGTAAACAAGTTAAAAAGAGGAAAAGTTCTGAGTTGGAAGAATATGTTGGGGACGACTGGGATAAATCCAATAAGAACCCAGCTATGCAGCTAAGCTAAAAAAAGGAAACAGCTATGGAATGGTACAACACGGACACAAAATATTCTTAGGACAATGGCACCACAGTTCATCCAAGGAAACGCTTTTGGCCTTTGGCACTTCCAATGCTAGTAATACCAGAAGCTGTATAACTGATTCTGACTTCCATCATACATTCAACTGAATTAGGAGGGTTATTGGTCGTCCAAACAGCTCTCACGTCTGCAAATTCAAAGTTTCTTGTTGGGTACAGCACGGTTGATACTAGCATCTGCAATGGAATTCCACAAGCTGAGTATGTTAAAATATGGAATTACCATCTGTAAATCTGAAACAGTAAATGGCAATAGATGGCAGTTTTATTCGGTTCATCTTCAGCTTCTCCCATCACCCTTCCTTTTTTACACCTTTGTACTGTACATGAAAAGAAGGCACAAGTAATCAAATAGTGGTAAGAGACAAGGTCATCAGTCGCTCTAAATAACAGTGATTGTTAATTACCACTGAGCATATAGGTTTTGTTAAAATCAGCCTATGAAACAATAACATAATTATGGTATTACCAAGTGTGAGATAATATCAAGTTGAGAAAGTACCAGGAAGAGATGAGGATAAACTCGTGTACTAAACTGCAGGTTGCACAGTTTGCCAGTTTCGGGCCTCATGATCGTATCATCAAATACAATAAGACATGATCCTTCCAAAGATGCAGCATGCAACATCCCTTGGGCAAACATGATGATTTTAATAAGGCGTTTTGTACTTTGTTTGAAGATCAATGCATGAATTTTGGTGCAATGACACAATTCCTCAAATCATGCTAACAATATGCTTGTGACAAAGGAGGTGGTGAATTGTTACAAGCATATTGTTAGCAAACCAAATATGCTAACAATATGCTTGTAACAATTCACCACCTCATACAATATGCTAACAATCATGCTAACCCATTCCATTCCTCATACCAAACAAGAGGCTTAGGTTCAGAGCTATGATCAATGACCCATCATCCTCTCAGTACTCAAACCAAATACCCCTAAATGGAACAGGGTTTCTAGGTCAGGACTCAGGAGCATCCACCTAAGGGTTGGGAGGATTGAGGTGCCCTCCCAACCCACATGGCTTGGGGTGGATTAGAGTGCAATCAAACAAGCCCTAAACATAGCTATGGAGCAACGTCTGTTGTGAAATGACAGGCTCAAAAAAAGTAGTCACTAACTGGTGTGTAGGGAAAGATGTCTTAACCATCAACGATTGGAAGGATCTTCTCCAGTTTTCAGATTTTGAATTTCATTTTTCTTGATCTACCCTTCCCATGTTCCATTCTCATCTGATTTGAAGAACAGTGGACAGACATTGAGTACCAACAAAAAGACAGTTCCAAGAATGGCAATTTGTTATATCAACAGTACAATGAATGTGAAAAATATACTACTGGTTCAAGTAACTGGACAACACCTTTCTAGTTTGCTTCAGTCATTTCCACTATATAAACTGGTTGTGAAATGTCAAGATCAAACCAGTAATCACTAATGGACACCACAAATGGTAAAAGATGCAGTTTGACTATCATTCTATCAGCAATCGCAAGGCTCTTCTCCAGATTCCGGATTCTGATTTTTTTCATTTTTCTTATCAACCTTCCCAAGTTCCATTATCATCAGCATCTACATAACTGTGTGGAAGCATTAACTATCAGCAACAAGATAGTTCCAAAGCATGGTAATTTGTTATATTGGCAGTAGAAATAATAAGACAAATATACTACTGGCAATCTCACAGTACCTTTTTAGTTTGCTTCAATTATTTCACACAAAATGTAACAATATCACACTAAATTGGGTGATTATCCCACCAGTTTGGCACCGCAAACTAAGAACACACTGGCACATGTTGGAACAAATATGGAATAATCAAAATCGGTTCTTTTGCTTCAAAGATGATTACTGCCACATATTACAGAGTCAGCATCAATCATTTGTGGCCTCTTGTCCTCATTAGCATATGCTCGTTTCCACGTGTTTGGGCTTATTTTGCAGGCAACAGGGGATATGAAAGTGGGCACCAATCCATCTCTAGTTGGCATGTAAAATATGGCAATTCATAAGTAGAAGATAAGAGGCTAGCTGCCACCCCCATGAGGAATTTAGCAATTAAACGGCCATAAGGGAAAAGAAAGCACATGTTAGGCAATAGAACCCCAAACTGACAGCATGATTGGCAACATGAACATGAAGCAATGAGTAAATGGCCAGACCAAAAAAGAAAGTGTAAATGGTATATAGAAAGCTCTTCGTGTGAGTTGAATATACAGCTGATAGAAGCACTTCTACTCCAGAATCAAATGAAGAAGATAAATAAAGTATCTTTGCAAATAGATAATTTGAATGAGCAATATGAATAAACTTTTGCATTAGAACTAACTTTTGCTGTACCTCTTGCATGACGTAGCTTGATACAAGGCTTTGAGCCTTTGATGGAACACCTTCTTGTTTACCTCCAATAAATGTGTGAGCTAGGTCAAATGTTTGTCTTAGGGAAGCCCACTTTGTTTACCACACAGAAGTTAAGCTCATGCCTTTCCAATAATGAAGAAAATTTATGAAAGTTATGCAGCTATGCAAGTTTCTGGAAACATGGTTAACTGGCAGTATATTTTTTTCATAATTCCATTGAGGCAGCTAAATCCTCAAGAGTGTCATATATATTCTCTGACTCAGGATGAACATCATCACCAGAGTAAAACCAGTGTGTCTTGCGGTCCACCTCAATTCAGCTACAACCAGGCAGCTTCTTGCCTATATTCTCCTCCTTCACGAATTTTCTTACTTTCCTCACCTCTTCCCACAAGCCACCTTCACTGTATACATTTGCCAGCATCACCACGTAGTTTGCATTATTTGGATCCAACTCTAGTAACTTTCGAATTGCTAACTCAGAAAGTTCTACTTGTCTGTGTACTCTACATGCACTGAGCAATGACCCCCATATGACTTCATCTGCTTCAATTCTCATATCGCTGATAACATTCAATGCATCCTGAAACCGGCCTGCCCTACCAAGAAGGTCGATGATACACCCATAATGTTCAATCTCCGGTTCAAGTCTGTGCTCATGCTGCATCAATTCAAAGTACTTAATGCCTTCATCAACGAACCCTCCATGAGTGCATGCATTCAACAGTCCAACGAAAGTAACCACATCAGGTTCAATCCCTTCACCCCTCATCTCATTAAACACAGATATTGCACACTTGCTGTGCCCATGCAGTGCCAGACAATTGATCAGAGAATTCCAAGTTGTTAGGCTTCTATCAGAAACCTCATCAAAGATCCACCTTGCCCCCTCCAGATTCCCACATTTACCGTACATATCAATCAACCCATTTCAGAACGGATGAGCCAAAACCAACACAGGTCCTCCACGCGTAGCAGTGGATCAACTTCCCAATCTTCAGCATCCCAAGATGCCCACACGCAGATAGTACACAAGAAACGGTGGTTGCATTTGGCCGGAACCCCGCGTCCACCATCTTCCCAAAAATCCCAACCGCCTCCACAAACAGCCCGTTCTGAGAGCAGCCTGCGACGATTGCGTTCCATGCAGCCACGTCCCTTTTGGGCATCCGCTCGAAGAGCACGATCGCATCCCCAACCTTCCCTGCCCTTGCATACCCGGACACCAGCACGGTCCAGG